AAGATATAACATGTTCAACTGAACAAATTTGAAAATCTATATATTGTCATAAATTAAAGTGTGTAAGGTTACAACTTTTCTAATAATATCAAAGGAAAAAAACACAAAAAAAACCTTATTCATTATAATAATCAATGTTGTGTACCAATAACAACCATTATATTTAAGATTTGTAGTGTTTATTTTTTATATTAATTTTGTCAAATTGAATGTTATCCGTATTTTATTGAACTTGGAAAAAAAAAATTAAACTGGGCAAAAAAATTGCCCCACCCCGCCCCACGCCCCGCCCCGTCGATGGGCGGGACGTGGGGTGGGAGAGGCGAGCCGGGGCGGGACGAATTGCCATCACTACTCCGAAGCCAATGAATGCAAAAACTTAAAATAATAAAATAAGAAATTTTGTCATTGAGGCCATGAATGGAAAAGAATTTTTCAACTGGTGTTCGTCCTGTACAAAAAATTAAAATCCGTCAGGCGACACGTAGTTTTTAATTAGTACAACATCGCTGGAAAATTTCGAGACACGTTAAAATGCCAAATAAAGGCTATCAAACACACGCTTAATGGTTGACTCAAATTATGCACATTATAAGAAAATCAGCCACCAAAAGCACCTTGACGTTGGAAGAGCAGAGTCTCATGTTCTTACACGTTGGTTCTTTCTTCAAAAATGCAATTCTGCAAGTTCAATGGATTGTAATATACAAGATTAACTTGTTTGTGAAAGCAAATATCGGGTTAGAAGGCCGCTATTGGCTGAGTGGAGTAGTCAATGACGAATTTAAAATTTTGAGTGAGTACGGGCGGTCATTGACCATTGATCATAATAAAATATTTAAAATTAAATATAACAATTATCTTGCTAAAACTAAGCATATACAATTTTGCTATACATGTAAGTAATATTCTCCAATTGACATAGTGGCTAGATTTTGTATAATTCAAAGGAAAAACATAGGTTCGAATCATTATAATTGCATAAAGGCCACTAGAACGGAATATATATTATTCGGTTACATTTAATATCAAAATTCAACAAGTGTCGTGATGATCAAACTTTCATTAATCTTAAGGAGAGGTCATAAGTTCAAATCCCCATCTTATTGCATTAGTTTTGGTAAAAATTGTAGAACTAGAAAAATTACACAATAAATTGGTATCATTGGATTTCCAATTTGTATGTGGAAGCTCTAACCAATTGAGTTATAAGAGATGTATTAAAACAAAATGAATTACCAGATATATAACATAAAACCTTTATCTACTGTCAACAAAATAGCCACTCGGAATAGCCATGAAGACAATAATTTAAGTTTTAAGCGTGTTAGGCATCGATGTTGCATGGAATGCAAACATTTCGCTCATTTGATTCATCCATAATGAAAATCTTCTTAAGCATTCAACATCAAATAGGTCTACATCGAAATGCAGGCATATAAAGCAACAAACTTAGAAGCTGTTAATAAAATCTAACCGTAACTTGAACGCATGAAAAAGATTTGATGGAGTTTGTGAAATAACTATAGTTGCTTCAGTTCCCAAAGAGACCATGTGCATGACCTTGACAGCTTTAAGAGGAAATCTTACATGGAAGTGAAATCAAGTAAAACATATTGGAACATGGTGATAGTACGAGTAAAGAAAACGAAATATGTGAAAAAGAGAAGGCCCATTTTTCCAAAGCTCGT